TTTAATGTATTTTAGTGGATGATAAAGAAGAGCTGATTTCTCACTTTTTGCGAAAATCCCCCGGAGCGAAATGTTGAACGTCAAAATCCTGTAATCTTCGGGAAAATCTGGTGATATGGCAACACTAGAAACTGACAACTGGGGTTTCTGAGTAGAGGTCTTGCAAGAAACAATTAAGAAAACCCCGAAGGGTCAATTTATTGGGCAGAGACGCGAATGTCTAAAAATAGATGCAGTAAAGTACGGAGTAGTGTGGCTAGCTGATAAAGTTGCAATCATTTCTTGGAGTCTTAGACGAGAGGATAGATTAGGCCTATTCATACTTGGCTTAAAATACCTACATTCGTATGGTTGTGACGGTCAGGCAATTATTGACCGTATTTTTTAGTTTATGGGTATCAGCCCAAAGCCCAGTTTTGGCTATTGCCGTTAATATTGGCAATCGGTCAGTGGCAATCGGTCGCAACTCCGCTAGCCAGCATTGTCTTGCAATTTATTTGGGGTTTTGTTGAGTGTCACAAAGTATTGAGTACCGGTTGCTACATTGCTAGATTGCTACATCACGTTCGGTGGCCTGATTGTTCTGCTGACATGAGGTGTCATCATTCTGTGTGACAAGTAGGACCACCGAACCTGGGTGTAGTCAGTCAGAGTAGGGTTTGAAGAGTCCGTGAGCTGCGGTTACGGGGTATCTTTCCTTCCCCCACGGGTGTCCGTGAGGTTGGGCATGTTCGCTTCTAAATCACTTTACATAGGCTATATTTTCAATTGATAAGTTAGTAATTTGTTACGAATCATTTTGTTTATTTTTAAATTGTTTCTTCTGACTTAAATGGTTTGTATCATCAGTTGATAGCAGTAACTCATTACAAATAGGTTTTCTGTTCTTTTGACATAATAAATACAGTGTGAAATTGTTAACTCTGCTTTCGATCATTGAGTTTCTGCCCTTCCCGTGCGTGATTGTTACATTGGTCCGTGGGGGTGGGCATGTTCGCTTCTAAATCACTTTTACACAGGATATATTTTCAATTGATAGTAACTTGTTACGAATCATTTTGTTCATTTGTAAATAGTTTCTTCTAAATGGCCTATAACTTATCATCAATTGATAGTAATGACTATATACGTAAGCATAAACTATATAACTACCTACCTATATAACTTGATAGTAGTAAACAATATGGTCAATAACTGCCTGACCGTCATATGGTCGCCAATTTTATAAGAAAGTAGGCTATTAAAGTAAGTTATGAGTAAGAAATACCGGTACCTATAACTTACATAGGCCCTATGATTTTCTTTTCTCCTTCTCATCAAAAAGACAAATGAACCATACTAGGATAAAATACAGTAGGTCTATGTATACAATTTAAAGTTAGAACATAGAAAAAACAACTCTTCAAAATAGGCCTATTCAGAGGGCATACAAGAGACTGGTTTATCGAGACTGTTCTGTTCTAAACAGAGAAGACCTACACTTAATAGATATTTAAGTTTATTTTCTAAGGTTTAAGTTGTCCCAGAACCTTGAAATATTATTAACACTGTATAAAGACAAAAACCAACTTAAGTTCAAATGACATGATATTGCTTAGCAAATTACATCTACTTAGATTAGCCTATACTACCTAAGGTTCCTTTCTTGCTAAGTAAAGTCTGATTATTGTTTAATCTATGAATGAACAATATTTTTAGAGAAAACGTGGAATATAATTTAAATCCAATAGTATAGTAATTATACTTACTTACTTACTTGATTATAAATTCTAACCTATATTCAAAACAAACATTTGGAGACAGACAGCACATTGGACTCATTATAGCTCAGTGACTCATTGGAGACACATTGGAGAGAGACAAAAAATCCAGCATGCTGCCAGTTCACCAGTGTGCCACAAAAAAAATAAAAAAAACTCTGTTAGGTCTGTTTCGATTTTCGACTGCAGCCTGATGGCTTTAGTGGTTAAGAGCTGACCCACGACCGCCTTTAACTCCTGACTACAGTAAGTATTATGCTACCATGGATTAAATATACACTATCTCGAGTATGGAGGAAGTGGAACTTGTCACCTTTCTGTGATCAAACTCCCTTCTTCAGTGGTGGGAAGAAAATGACATCATCTTGAACGCTTAAGTTTTCCATTTCTAACCAGTAAAACAGTCCACTATGACGTGCTATGACTTTATTATTCTGCTTGACGAATGACGATACCACTATCTTTTCTTCTTCAGAAGTGAAATTCTTTGGTCTATTCCTTGACGAAAGCTCTAAATTCCACAGCTACATTATGGCTACATCAAGCATTTCAGCAAGAAAGTATCAGTGGGTATATTCATGTTGAAAGTTCTTAGCCAATCAGCCACCTGATGATGTCCTAGGAACAGCTGTTATCAGCCTATTATGGACTTGTTTGTTTACCCATATCTGACTTATGCTGTTCCTGCTTGGGGATGCAAAAGCGAAAGGACTCGGTTCTTGTTTATGCTTCAGAGAAGGGCATTCCGAATTATGTTTTTTCTATTCCCAAACAACAATAATACAGAGATAATTTAAGAGCATTTAAAATACCTTCCCATCAATTTACATCCTTAAAACTCTATCTTTCCACAACAAAAATACTTCCTTTTTTCTCATCAGCAATAACGCTCGGGTATCCATTTCGCAATATGGTACATCAAATCTACCAATTCCTCAAGATTCCACTTCTTTCTTTCAAAGAAACTTTCATTATAATTCCATAAAAATATTCAATAGTCTTCCACCTCGACTGAAGGCCGAACAAGATGTAAAATAACAGGTCTTGTCCATGCTGTTGTTAGAAAAATCATCCTACAGCATCCGTAATGCTTTATTTAGTCATCATTCACAATGTCACGTGCACATCTTTAGTTTATTTAATTATAAAGCTATTTATAGTAAGAAATTTGGTTGCATTAAGGTGAACTAAGTTGATCTTTTCTTGTATTGACTTGGCTAATCCAAATCATTGTCAGTCTGGTCCAATATTGACTTGTTATTGACTCTTGATGAATTGTCATCCTTGGATCAGCTGAAGACAATTCAAGTTGATTCCATCTTGTTAATATGTAAGGGTGTGATTAGTTTACGCTGTACTAGGGCACTAGGGGGACCTGTGTGATTTCGCACGAAAAAAGGTTTTCTTTTATGAATGAATCCATTCACAAAAGGCATGGGTTATGTCGTTTGTTGGACAGTATAAGCATATTTAAAACATACTCCTCCTTGAGGAGTATGTTTTATCTATGTTTAGTGAAATAGTTTAGTATTCTTTAATAATTGCCTAATCATAACCTATACGATTTAGACATAACTAGCCGGTCTAACACTGAATTTAACCTGACTGACAACGCACTTATCGTGTTTAACGTACCTTGGCATAACGTAGACTGAGACTCCCTCGTCGTTTGTCTCCTCTCTGGGGTTGGACTTTGTACTATTTGTACTTTGACCTTAGGTCCTATTGTATTTAACTTAAACTGGCTTCTTGATATATTGTAATAACGAAACTAAAATATTCTTCACTTTATAACAATTCCCTCCCTACTTATAAAAATAAAACATTCACTCTAAATAAAAACTCTTCTTAGGGAGGGCGACTCTCTTCTTATGCTCTACAGACTACAGGTTCAGTTTATCAGGCGGTTTTATTGTTCGTTTTGAACGCCTGATACATGAGTCTGGACTCTTCAAGTTTACTCTCTTTCTGGAGACTTGATTATTCCTGGTGATTCTTGAGAGTCTTGATTTTGTGGTAATGATGGTCTTGTCCGGGATTTACTAGGGCTTTTTGTTGGGGTTTGTTTAGGAGAATATTCAATTGCCGGTGCTGCAATTTCTTCTGTCCTTGTGTTTTCATCTGGTCTAGGTAACGTTTGTTCTTCTTCATCTTCATGTGATGGATTCAACTTAAGGTGGTCTGCATGTATGAATCTTGTTTTACCTTCCACATTAACTAGATAGGTTACTGGGCTGACAACCTTAAAAATGACACCAGACTGCCAGTTTATCTTTTCTTGTCTCACAGTACGGACTAGTACCATATCTCCTTTATTAAAAGATCTCTGTTTTCCTCTTCGGGTATCAGCTCTCGTTTTCGTCTCTTCCCATGTAGCACAGATGGTTTGGCCAACGTTGGCCAACTGTGGGGCAGTTGGTCGATGGTTGGTTGGAGCTTCCACAACCAACCAACCGTTGTCCAACTGTATATCTCGTAGTTGGGCCAACCAATATTTACAACTGTGGACCAACGTTGGTTCATTGTTAATGAAATACATTAATATGCATTTCTGGGTATCATACATCAAGCCAACCGTTGTCCAACCGTTTTTCACTCCGTTGGACCAACAAAAGCTACTTTTGTGGGACCAACGATGGTCCATAGTTGAGTTTACACGACTTTCATTCTCTGGGTCTAGCTTTCACAACATAATATTATAATAATGCAAATATTTTTTAAATTAAATTCTTTAACTTTTGCAACAATTTAAGGGGAAAGAGTAATTAATCATATAATAGCATTAATAATCTAACAGTAATTAATTAATCTATATTCAAATACCAGTATCCTCTCTAACTCCCCTAAAAAAAAAAAAAAAAAAAAAAAAAAAAAAAAAATACTTATGATGCCTTAACAGATTAACAGAGGCTCATAAGTCGAAGGACCCGGGTTCGAAACCCGTCTGGGCCAAAAAATTTTGTTCCAGCTCTTTTTCAAAATTTGTTTCTATGAACTATTTAATCAATTTACACAACTAATAATTATATGCTTTTCATACTAAATCTTTATTATTTTGTGTGAAATAAAAAGGTTGGTTGGATATCAGTTGTGTTATGGTTAGTTGGCCATCAGTATTTTTGGATGGTTGGGCCATTGTTGGACAATGGTTGGTTGGAAAATAGTTTAAAGAGGTGACATTTCTACCGTTGGCCAACTGTGTGGCTCCACAATTTACCAACGTTGGCCCAACCATCTGTGCTACATGGGTTCTTGCTTTCTCTTCATATCGTCAGACAAATGAGGCTTAAGTAAACTCAATGGTGTACGTGGGATGGTCTTGAGAAACATTTCGGCAGGTGTCATGCCTGTGGTCGAGTGTGGCGTGTTCCTGTAGGCAAACAAAAAGCTGTCCAGCCTATGTTGTAGGGTTCGGTTTAAAGTGGTTTTTGAATCCTCCAAAAACTGTTTCAGAAAGACGTCTTTGGTTGTCTGGACCATCCTTTCTGCGAGGCCGTTTGAAGCCGGATGATATGGTGGTGAAACCAGATGCCGAATGCCATTGAACTTCAAAAAGTCATTTAACTCTTGAGACGTGAACTGGGTACCTCCATCTGTTACCACAGTATTTGGTAAGCCGTAAGCAGCAAAACAGGTTCTTAGCTTTTCTATTACATTAGCAGAAGTTGTAGATTTCATGTGGAAGATTTCGGGCCATTTGGATCTACTATCAACGAGAATGAGAAAATCTTTCCCCTCATAGGCGGCAAAATCTAGATGTAGCCTTTGCCAGTTGCGGTTTGGCCATGACCATGGTTGTAACGGGACCACTGGCATTGATTTCCTAGTCTTCTGACAGATACTGCACTTCTTCACAAACTCTTCAATTTCAACATCAAGTTTTGGCCACCAAACGAAGCTGCGAGATATTGCCTTCATACGCGACTCACCAGGGTGTTCCGTATGTAACAATTGTAGCACTTCTTCTTGATGAACACGGGGAATTATTACTCTTGAGCCCCACAGCAAGCAGTCTTTTTCTACTGAAAGTTGCAATGCTTTATCGGAATACGGTCTTAGCTGTATATCATTCGTGTATGCAGGCCAGCCATTTCTAGTAAGGTCTAAGACCTTCGACAGGATCGGATCATACTTTGTCGCAACCCCGATTTCCTTGTAGGATATAGGAAATTTCTGACTGTGGGCAAAAAAGTTTATTTCACCTTCTATCTCCTCCTCCTCTTCTCCTTTGCATGGCAGCCTAGAGAGGGCATCCGCGTTTCCATGATCAGCACCCTTTTTGTACACTAAATCATATTGGTATGTTGCCAAAATTAATGCCCACCTCTGTATCCTAGCAGCTGCCAGAGTGGGTATGGCCTTGGTGGGACCAAGCAGGAATGTTAATGCTCTATGGTCAGTCACCAGTGTGAATTTCCTCCCATATAAGAAATTATGGAACTTGCGCACAGCAAAAATGAGAGCCAGTGCTTCTTTTTCGACTTGTGCGTACTTAATCTCACTCTTGCCTAATGTCCGGGATGCGAATGCTACAGGCCTTTCAGACCCGTTGGGTAACACAAGTGCTAAGACAGCTCCTAGACCATAATGTGATGCATCGGCTGAGACTACAATGTCTAGATTTGGATCAAATGGAAGCAGAACATTGTTTTGCACTAACATGTTTTTACTTGTTGTAAAAGCCTCTTCACATTTTTGACACCAATTCCATTTAACATCTTTATTTAAAAGCTGGTACAATGAATACAATATACTAGAGAGATTTGGCAAACATTTTCCATAATAGTTAACTAACCCCAGGAATGAGCGAAGCTGTGACACATTTTCTGGTTTGGGTGTCTTTATAGCTTCCGTAAGTCTTGGAGCTGTTACTGTTATTGGACCTGCCTTCTTCAATCCGTTCCCAAGTACAACCACTCCTTTCTTCACTGTTCTCACCCGTTGCTTCTGGATTTAGCTGATTGTTAATTGCTCGTTTGCCGTTCCTGGTTAAAATGAATATTCCTTCTCCCTTTCACCAACAAAAAGGAAACACTTGACGTAAAAATATACTTTTAAAAGCGCGCACAAAATAAAGAAACTCACTTTAAAATACTCGTCGCCATGAAATAGTTTAGTATTCTTTAAATAATTGCCTAATCATAACCTATACGATTTAGACATAACTAGCCGGTCTAACACTGAATTTAACCTGACTGACAACGCATTTATCATGTTTAACGTACCTTGGCATAACGTAGACTGAGACTCCCTCGTCGTTTGTCTCCTCTCTGGGGTTGGACTTTGTACTATTTGTACTTTGACCTTAGGTCCTATTGTATTTAACTTAAACTGGCTTCTTGATATATTGTAATAGCGAAACTAAAATATTCTTCACTTTATAACAGTTAGACTATGCCTGTACTTAGAAGTTCTAAAATGTTTTATAATCAATGGCCAAGTAGAACCACTTTGGTTTTGAACTCTTGTCAAAAATGTCCATTCTCTTTGCATTCAATTGGTATTCTGCAAAGCAAAGCTGAGCAAATCAATTTTTGTTCTTCTTTCCGGATAAAGTAAGCCGAAGGTACGTTGTTCATTCCCAATTTATTAAGTTTATTTATCTGTATCTATCGCATTAAAGAAATTTGTTTCCTACTTTGTTTTAACTTAATTTAAACGGTAAAAGCTTTACTTATAAATTTACCATAGATCACTTTCAATGTCTAAATATATTCAGAGTATCTTGGGCTCTAATTGCTGCCTAGGTTAGGATTCTTCAAGTACGGTAGCCTATTTACTTTGATCGGATGTTAAGGATAGTTTTTAAATAATTATAGAATGTTTTTAACCACATTGATACAGATAATTCTGCGGGATTGAAGTTGTAGGCCTTAGGTTATGTCTATAAATTTCTCTAAACAAAGTAATCACTTAGGTTACTCTGTTAATCTATGGGCCTAGGCCTAGCTTAGTTAATCGATAGTAAATTAAGCTAACTAGAAGTTACTATAGGCCTACATTCCATTTGTCAATATAAATAATTAAAATATCAATAGGTTTGCTGTTATTAGAAACTTAGCACACATTTTGTCAGTGAGGCTTGGAGGGTCGGAACCAAAATTCACTCATTTGCAATGGACTGTGCACTGCACAGTCTCTGTCTAGCATATGTGCTGATTGTGTCGGTAAGGCACGGACGGAAGGAACAGAAATTCCACGCACTTTTTCAATAACGTCTGTGTGCACTCAACAGTCTTTCTAGCATTTTTCCTGAAAACTACGTTGTGAAAAAGGTTAATGAGTTTAAGTTATAGGTGACACATCTGAACGTCTCTCTAAATTTTTTCCAAACATTCTTTCGGACAGTGGAAGGTGTACCTACATGGGCCTAGATGTTCTGTGACGGCTGAGAGCGTGCACTCAAAATCAAATCAATGCTAAACATTTTTGAAATTTTTTCCATTCATCCATCCATTTGTGCTGCCCTGACTCAGTGCGCTCTTAGTTTAACTTATTCTACTTAACTTAGCCAAGGCCTACCATACTTATTTTTTTTAAATTTGTAAGTTTAACTTATTAAGTTAGCCTATTAAATGGGCTCCTGGGCCGAGGGCCTAGATCTTTTTAGTTAGTCACAAGTTATAAATCCTTAACGATGTTCAACATGATAACTTAGGCCTTTGAACATAAACCTCTCTCTGTTACACATTGGTTTTCCGACGCATTTACGCCATTTGTGAACTGTCCAAAGTCAGAATTACGAATGCATTTAGGAAGCGTTCTCTTGAATGCTCACCGTTTGCATAATTTTAAAAGTCAGGACCACGTAAGTTTGCAGTTGGTGGCAGCCAAGCACAAGACAAGGCTAGTGCGACGTTGCCACATCGCCCGTTGACAACACCAATTAAAATATACTAAGCAATAATTTTCAAATCAGCTGGTATTATTAGATTTGGCAACACCACACGGTTCTCTTTGGTTCATTCAAAACCATATGGTAAATAGGCTATGCTCCTCCCTTAACTGCAAATTTATGTGGTCCCGACTGTAATTTCGGTATGACTTTTTATCACTACCTACCTAACTTATTTCAAAGTAAAAATCATGGTAATTATTCCGTACAAGCAACAGTGCCCGTTGTGGTTAAATACAACGGTCTCTAGTAAAATAATGGTTATGAAATCCATACACAACTTTACTCACTAATATTAATGGTACAGATTAAGCACATAACATTAGATAATTATATTATGCATACTGGTAAACCAATTATTGCCATCTATAAAAATTATTGGTTTTTCTTTTTGGGAGTCTTTTACCCAACCGATTTTCATAATTTTGGCCTTAAACTAAAGGTATGGACGTACCACAGATTTGCCATAAAGCTTCGGCATTCATTTTGACGTATATTTTGAAAGAATTTAAATTTTATTATTTTTATTTTTCACTTCAATTAAAGTTGTATTCCAGCAGTTCTATATGTTACCCCTATATGTTTTGGTCTAAAAACCTTTAGTGAAATACCAGCTTTCATTTGAGCTATTGATTATTAAGATCGGACTACCTAAAACACACTGCTGAATCACAAATCAACAATAATTTCAATCGTTTTAGTACTTATCTGCAATCAATGATACATAACTCTATTTTTATTTAAGTTATTTTAATATGTCTTGGTCTTAAAATACTTCATAGGCTTTCACTTGAGATATTGATAGTTTTAAACGGTTTAAGATACTGTATCGCTCAATCAGAAAATATAAATTTGATTATATCTTGGGTATGGAATTTAGTTTTAGATATATTTACTTAATTCTAATTACGTTATTCTATTTGTTTTGACCTAAGAACCTTCTGTGAAATACCAGCATCCATTTGATTTATAGCTTATTAAAATCGGACGTATCTAAAGCACACCGCTAAATGACGTACAACACAAATTATTTATCATTGATTTATTTATAGTCAAACGATCTTGCTTGCAACCTCAACCGTAACTGTCGACTATGACGGGTTTAACCTAGTAAATCTTTTAAAAAATCAAACTTTTATGGGATGGGATATTCTGATTATTTGCAAATCTACACAAATTAAGCTTTCCAATGACCTATTATTTAATAAAATCAGTTCAGTAGAACTGTATATTTAATTGTACAAAGTTTAACAACAACTTCTCTAATTCAGTATTGTCTCACCACTATAAATTGGGAGGTTGCTTAACGTTTTTGCAAATCACTTTGAAACGGTGAGGAAATCGACCAAAGTGGAAGGTGATATTCTGAAAGAGAATAAAATTTCCTACAAATTACTATTATGTGTTTTTTGAAAATACTCAATTAAGGCAGCCTAAAGTTGGCCACAAAAAATAAACTTGGAAATATAAACTTGGAAAAAAATGAGTTTTAAATGTATTATTGTTTATTTTTATTTTTTCACCTCAAATATCTAATAAAATCAAACTTTCATAATTATTTGCAAATCTACACAAATTAGGCTTTCCAACGACCCATTAAGTAACAAAATCTGTCCGGTAGAAGTCTAGATTTAGTTGTACAAAGCTTAACAAAAATATCCCTAACTCAGTATTTTCTCTTTACTATAAATTCGGAGGTTGCTTAGCTTTTTTGCAAATAACTTTTAAATGGTGAGGAAATCGACTAAAGTGGATGGGATATTCTGAAAGAGAATAAAATTTACTACAAACAACTACTATGCATTTCTTGTAAATGCTTAATAAAGGCAGCCAAAAGCTGGCTACATATAGAAACTTGAAAACAAAAACTTGAAAAAGCAGTTTTTAATGTATTTTTGTTATTTTTACTTTTTTACCACAAAGATATAATAAAATCACATTTTTATAATTATTTACAAATCTACATGAGTTGGGCTTTCCAATGACCCATTAATTAACAAAATCAGTCCAGTAGAAGTCTAGATTTAGTTGTACAAAGCTTAACAAAAATATCCCTAACTCAGTATTTTCTCTTTACTATAAATTCGGAGGTTGCTTAGCTTTTTTGCAAATAACTTTTAAATGGTGAGGAAATCGACTAAAGTGGAAGGTGATATTCTGAAAGAGAATAAAATTTCCTACAAATTGATACCATACACTTCTTGGAAACACTCAAAAAAGGCCGCAAAAAGTTGCACCCAAATAAAAATTGTGTAAAACACCGTTTTCAATGTATTTCTTATGGAAAACATGTTTTTTTTTAAATTTTCACCATAAATCATAACAAAAACAAACTTTCATAATTATTTGCAAATCTACACGACTTAAGCTTTCCAACGACCCATTAGTTATTAAAATCGGTCCAGTAGAACTCTAGATTTAGTTGTACAAAGATTTTTAAAACTGAATTATATATAGAATAGATAGGTGCCTCCAAACGAATTTTTAATTTTGATATCTTACTTTATAGTTTTTTACCTCCTGAATCCAAATATGTATACCATTATTTTTCACAACTGATGAATATTTCTCAAGATATCACCGTAATAACATAGCCAACAACATTACAATAAACGAGGTAGGATGGATGACATTTAGAAGTGGAATGAACTATGGGTAAACCAACAGCTGATTGTTTTCAATCATAGTCAAGCAAATGGAAGTGACAACTTTAATTAGCTAACTCTGATTCTGCAATATGAAAATCACCTGATCAAGTTACACTTTT